AAAAAAAAAAAAAAAAAAAACTGCCCTGGTAACATCAGACAATGTGGTAAGTAACACCGTGCTTGAGGTGCCATACCCAGAATTTGTCTCCGCAATTTGTTTTAGATTACTTTTTATCTAATGTTAAGATACAAAAGGCTTTGTTCAGTCTCGACTTGCCCTTATCTAGTGTTTGTATAAATTAAGACTTCCTGCTAAATATGCTGATTGTACCTTGTGTAAGGCAAGGTAGAGAGGTTGACATTCAGATGGATTCTGAGAGCAAAGAAAGGTTTGAAGAGGCAGTCCCACCAAAATTAAATATGCATAAGAGCAGCTAAAATGTCTAATAGCAAATTGAATAACAACATACAGAAAAGATGGAAATGACTAAACAGTATAGATACAGCATATCAAGAAAATGATTAAAATGTACAAAATGCATGTGTAAATCACTGCAAATAATCAGGTGTTTGAAAGCAATTTATTTTTAAGACTTGTAAGTCCTAAATTCAGAGAGAGCTTCTAATAGCTGGCCAGTCAATTAAGGGAAAGTATCTTTTTCATCTAGGTTTGAAATTTGATTTCTAAAAGAGCTCATATCTTAAAAGTTCCTCTGCAGATGGGCTATTTGGCAAGAGCTATACATAGTTCAAGGCTGAAGAGTAAAGATACCGTGATGAATCGTGGACTCTTACGGCTTGACTAAAATACAAAAAGCTTCCTAGATAAATAAGTGGGTGTGGAAGTATTCTTAATGGGTACTACTACTTAGAAATAATATTCATATATCTCTTTATCCTCTATGTAAGCTCCATCTTGTCCTAAATTAACCTTGTCTAACCGCTAAATTTACTTTAAGTAGCCTCAGTGAGATCTGTAACCTATTCCCTGCCCCCCATTCTACCTTTCTTGACTTTTCTAAAATGGCTTGCATCTTGACATACTTTGCCCTTATTTCCTTTGCCTCTTTTATTACCCAAACTTTGGTCAAGCAAATATTATGTTGCCATTAAGCAACTTAAAAGCCTACAACAGTCTACAAGGTTCACCTTTAGGCTAACTGAATTGGAGGCATAAACTTGGAGAGCCACAACTCACTTGATCGGGTGCCATAGAAGTTCAGTCTTTCAGAGAATAGGCTATCAAGTAGAAGCATTGTCTTAAATAGAAAATGCAAGAAGATGGGGGAAGCAAAGGCAGTGCTGAGGGAGATAGGATTGGAGAGAGAAATGAAGCCATAAATGTGCAGACATAAAAGCTAATCCAAGTAATGGGATAAGGAGCAGTAGACCCAGTTAAGACCATATTTAATACAATCCCATCTGTGGATAATTCTTTGGTAAGAAACTGCCTCTAGCAATTAGCACAATTGACAGTAGAGAAGAACTCCAGGCCTGCAACAGGAGGGAGCTGTAAGCCAGTTCTAAGGTGTGATAAAACACCAGGGGTATTCAAGTAAGCCTAGTAAGGAGGCTTATTTGGCTCTTTAAGCACTCTACTGTGTTTTCCAGTTATCTGTAGAATCGCACAATCTGTTCAATACGGGGTAACTTGGCTACAAGGAAATGGATCATAGCCACTCTGTAAAGAAACCATTTCTCTGCTGCTTACAGTACAAGGATTTCAAAATGAGAGGAAGGATGCCCCTTCATTGTGTGGTCATTTATCTTGGAAGGATTGCAAGCCAGCCCTCCTGTTGCACTCCATCAACAGGTGGTAATTAAGTCCATTTTACTTATCATTAATATTGCATAGAGTTCAGTGACTGAATTATTTATCTCTTAATTTAGATCTTGAGAGAGGATTTTGCTGCTGTAGGAAAGAGGCTTAAAACTCTTCCAGGAGTAGCCTCTGTTTCCTGTGGTCAGCTTGCAGAAATGAATGATTGCAGTAGAGAGTTGAGCTTGGCTATGCCAGAGCAATCCTTGGGGCTGGGCTGCCCATGCGTTCTGGAGTTCGTTGCAAGGCGAGGGCCAGCGGTTGACCAGACTCTCTCTTCCCATGCAAATCCTGCTCTTCCAAATGCTGGGAAAGCAGCTTTGCCCCAGCTACCTAGGAGAGGCTTTTGCCTTGGCCAGCAGCAGCACAATGGGAAATGGTACTTGAGGAACATGTTGGTACCTAGGTAAGTCCCTCTATCCTTTTTGTGTGGGGTAGTGTGTAATAATAGACTTTTATTAAACTTGCTGCAGAATTTCTTTATGAACAAAATTAGGAATTTGAAGTGGGAGGAAAATAGGTTTTGCACTGGCCATCTCTTCCTCCCTTTCTTAAAAATGGGGACAACATTAGCTAGTTTCCAATCCCCTGGCACCTAGCCAGATGACCATGAATGCTCATACAGCCTGGCCAAGGGCTCCACGATGACCCCTGCCAGGTCCCTCAACACCCTTGGGTAGAGGGCATCTGGACCTACAGATTTAAAAATATCCAGCCCTTCCAGAAGATCCCTAACTACATCTGTGCTGACTGAAGGTGTGACAGAGCTATCCC